TGGTAGGTAGTATATAGGATTGTAGCTTTGGTGGTTTTGATTACAGTGTCTGTTATAAACATCTCATGTTCCTGATTGAGTAGGGTTTAAAAAGAATCCCTCATATTTTAATGTATTTTTGTATTTCCTAAGCGTGCATTATATCCTATTCTTCTGATAACTAACCATATAGCTGAACACTTGGGTCACAGTCTGCCTGGAAATTCTTTTGTTCAAGTCTCTATTTGCCACTGCTGTCTGTTGGCTTTTATTCTTTCAGTTGTTCTTAAGAATACATAAATAGTACGAGATTTGCTTTATGGAAATTTGAATTTCTGCAACAATAACCAAGAAGTAATTTACTTCCATTAAAAAAGGTTAATTTCTGGAATTGGGTGGGAAATCATAAACTCAGTCTTGGTATCCTACATCACATAAATTTAGGCATATTTTGATTCTAGACAAGCTTCTTAAAGAGAGAAATTGTGAAAATATTTTTGATGAGTGAGTTGTGTCTGTAATGGGCCATTTATAAAACTACTGAATGTCAGACTTCTCAGACTACCTGGCTCTGATGCTGCAAAATCAGTAATTTTTTAGGGCAATTTTATATAGTAGATTTACAGAGTTGTTCACTGTTTACTGTTTCAAGTTGTTCACTGTTATACTTTAGAACAGGATTTTCAAAACTTATTTGCCAAACCCCTTTTTCATCATGTGTCTTCTCCCCCAGTCTCCTGTACCTGCTGAATAAAAAGTTATCACTCATCCAGCCATTACCTGTTTGTAGTTTCTACCATCTTGCCCTGTGATGGTGACAGGATCTAATCTGTACACTCTCAGATATTATTTTTTTTGCTATGCAAAAACTGTGAGCCTGTTCTCTTCCATTACACTTCTGTGCAGCTTCCTATATATGTCCACTGAGGATACATCTTTCCTGTGATGGAAGCTTCAGTTTGGAATCTTCTTGCTATAAATTAACTGCACAGTTGATTATTTTTTTCAAACTCTAGTGATTCTCTTTGGGATCCTTGTATACCAGGAGGGGAAGATTAGATGTCTGGCCCAGCTTTTCCCCTGAAATTCCTCCCTCCCAATGGAATTTTTAAAAAAATGGAATTTAAAAAAAAAAAATGAAAAAGCATCCATTAGTGCCAACAGAGGCTTTTAAATTTCTTTTTAAAGTATCCTGGGAGGACACTGGGGGGTGAAGCTTAATTCTCCCCCCAGAGAGGGTTCTCTCCCTGCATAGTGGTTCTGATATGAATTAGGAACACACATACTTGTTTTACAGTAAAATAATGTTTATGTTTGGCTACAAGCCATGCAATTAACATAACATGTAGTTTGACATGTAGATTGAAGATAAATGTAATTTCAACATAGGTCATCTGGCCCTCCAAAACCAGCCTTCAGTCACAACTACATACTTCTCTGGCTAGAGAAAGCTAATAAAATGGTCTGTGGATGGATTCCCGAGATGGAAATATGCTATTCTCATTCTTCTTCAGCTATCTGGCTGTGGGATCTGTTCTAAAACTTTCCACTACCAGTGGTGATGGCAGTAATAGCGAATGAAAAGGTAGGGGAAAACGATGGCTTGAACCCATGTTTATTTGACTGATTAGCTTGTCTATTCTGTTGATAAACTCATCCTATAGTGCTACTGAAAAACGTGGGAGGATTGCTCTTTGTTGATCACCTGCAGTTCTTGTGGATATTTAATTTGCCAGTGTGAATCCAGTTAGCCCAGTTTTGGCTAATTCTTTTTTTAACAAAACATAAATAAATAAGAATAGCCCTGAAGCAGAAAATCTCATACTTACAGTGGATCTCCTTTGCTTGATTTCTCATTGATCAGTCTCTTCTTAGTTTTGCATCATTAAAATGCTGGGTTATTAGGGGTTTCTCATTTGTTTTTAAGTTAGACAATCCCTTGCTTATGTCCGCAAAATTATTCTTAAGTAGTATATTGAGGTTCATGTTAATATGTGCTGTTTAATGAAACCTAATGATATTCAGTGAAGGGTAGTGCTAAGCCAGAGAGAAAACTTGTTACCTAGGCAACTGCCCTTGTGTAGTGTAGAGCTTCAAACATATGGCTATGTAGCATGCATTATTTCAGCATCTTTAACCATTAGGGACCACATGTGTAATTGACTGTGAAAAATTACTGCTCAGTTACTGTATTGTGTGGTCATAATAGAAGTAAATGAGTACGTCATTGTTGTTGGAGTAGATCTGTTGGGAATCACTTGCAGGCCAGGCTATTTAAGGAGCAAAAATACAATAAGAAGAAAATAGCTGGTTTAATTAACATATAAAAATTGGGTTAATTTGAATTCAGCTGGCGCAGCAGATATTCATGTTTCTTCTGGAGTAGGTTTGAGCCTCACATTTGTATACTTTTTACCTTTCTTCATAAAAATGACTAATTGTGTTTTTCATGACATCTACTGTTTTAGCTCTCTGACTTTTTAGAGTGCTTGTACTATTTGATTGAGATGAGTAGGCATGATTCACTATAGCAAAAAAGATCAGACAGTAATGTGGTACCCTTCATATGCTTAACAAATGTTATGTGGCATATTATTGTAAATATAATATCTTACCTCCTCTGATTATTTCATCCATCTGATGAAGCAAGCTCTGCCTTACAAACACTCAAGTTACATTAATTTTTTAGTCTTATTATTTAAAAGTTCCAGAAGAAACATCACAAAGAAATACATATTGTAATGTCTCTCTAGCTTGTATTCTTACTAATCAACTTCTAGCTGGCAAACTGGCATAACTATGTTATTATCTAGGAAATGAAACCAATGTTAGTCTGGGTTAAGTCCTATTCATTTCAGTCAGTCTGCTCTAAGTAGGACTAACGTTAGTTATAATGTGATGACAAATACATGGTAGCTGCTGAAGCTATTAAGAACATACTATCAGATATAGCAATTCACCCACTGGACATCTATTTTTTTTAACTATTTCATGTTGAAGTGAATTATCACCTCATACTATAGTACAGGTTTGGACCACATCAGGTAAATGTTTATGTTTCTAGGCAAAGGTTCATTTTTCATCCATCTGGTCGCACATACAGTCAGCAACTATGTTACATGTCTGCTCCCTATTTGCATCTCTGATCAACTAGTTTACAAAGCTGAAATCTTAATCTGCACATGGATGGATCACTTTTTGCTGGTAAAATGTGGTTCCACGAAGTAGCCAATTTCATTGTTATATTTTGTGTTCCATGGCAGTAGGCTTGGGAAAAATTTATTTGAACGTTTTAAGTTGGTAAATATCCCAAATGTGCAAGCTCAGTTCAGCCATAATGAGATTCTACTAGTATTTTAGGAACCTAGAAAAAAGTTAAAAGAAAGACACAGCCTGTCATGCTTCAAGAACTCCTTTTTAAAAATCTATCAAATATCATATTTTGAGCCTATTAAATTCATTCGAAGCACGCACCTGCCTATTTGGAGTGCTAGAATTGAAAAATTAAAGCAATGTTGACTAATAATATTGCTTTCTAGTCATTAAAGGTTTTAATTTTTTGCTATTAAGTAAATGTGAAAATTACTTGCTAGTTTACAAGCCTGGTAGGAACTGCATTATTTTTGGTACAGTCTCCCCTTCTTCTTTGAAAGTATATCTAGTACATTGTATTAACTAGAGTATTGGAATAGAAGGGTTTTGACTTCATGCCCTAGATAGCCATACAACTCAGCAGTGGTTGTGGACCTCATAGTTCCATCTAAGTCTAACCTATATACGGAACTATAGTAAGTCTATAGTTGTCTTAATGAAGAGCAACTTAGGTAGAAGAGTAAATGATGTTAAAAGAGTTCAGAAAAGAATCTGTAGTTATCTCACTATCCATTAGATATTTGGTGTTTGTTAGTCATAGCACTGATTACAACAGCAGTGTGTGCATGATGCATGAACAGTACAGCCAGGGTATGAAGTACTGTGCAAATAGTTCTACTTGCTGAGGTTAGATGGGTAGGTTTGCTGAGTTGTTCTAAAAGGCACAAAAAAACTATGGTGAACTTCAAAACCAGTTTGAAGTTGGTTTCAGATTGGTCTCAATTTAGAAAAGGTAGGAAAGTGAGGGGCACACCTGTGGATTCTCATCTGGAATGAAGATTTATCTTGGTAGGTCATGCCTGATGGTCCAGGAACTTGATTTATATTGGGTTGGCTACAGATTAATCTAGTTATGCTTTACAAACTCAATTTGCATTGTTGATAAAAACATGTAAGAATTTAATGATGACATATTTTTCTTGTTACTTTTTTATTTTAAAACATTTATAACCTGCCTTTCTGCTTATAAAGAACAATAATACTCAAGACCACTAGCAACAGTAAAAATTGCATACAAAAAAGGCCAGCAATGAAATGGATGCCATTAAAACCAGCACACATTAGGATGGCCATCTAGGTGTCCAGGCCTCTAGCCCTAGCCCAGTTGAAAGGTAAGGATTAGGAATGGCCTTGAAATTGTCCATCAGTACTTAACTAGACAGCAGACTGAATATGCACACAGATCATCTGGTCACTGCCTTCTCCACTAAGGTGGGGTAGTATATTTCTCTTGGAAATGTGGGGGAAATCTATATTCTGCTTTGGTGATACACAAATGGCCAACTGAGCATGCACACCAAATTCAAAAAGCGTCATGATGAGAACAGAAAGATGAATAGCCAGGATCTAAAATTTATGCTACTAATTCCAACTAACACCTCACACACAGATGTCTTCCAGATGTGTGGGTCTTAGCAGATCTGCAGAGAACAAGAAATGAGGAACCACTGGACCTTCCTATGGGACAGTTCCAAAGGTCCCGTCTTCTCGGTTTTGTTGTATAAGTTATTTATTAATGGTCCACAGTGATGGAATTAAATTATGTGCACTCTTTTTATTAAGACTTGAATAACCAATATATCTGTCTAATATATTGGGTAAATGCATATAAAAGTTTGTGAACACGGGACTTTTTTTTCCCTCTGTAGGTTAATATCCTTTCAAGAATTTGTAGCCTTTGAATCTGTTCTCTGTGCTCCAGATGCATTGTTCATGGTGGCATTTCAGCTTTTTGACAAAACTGGCAAAGGAGAAGTTACTTTTGGTAAGACCCTTTTTTGGCATTCCCCTTTTGTGCTGATGCTGTTATGATAATAGAACTACTTATTACAGATAAGTTATTTTAAAAATCACTTCATTCATGTTACTTGTCTAATAAATTAATATTTCCTTATGATCTACTCCTGATGTTCAGTTTTTGATTGTTACTGGAGAGTTTTAAATGTATTCAATGTACTGATATTCCAGACAAAGTTTTCAAACATCTTTATTGTATTTAACAGAACACTGGTATATGAAGAAAATATCCAGCATATTAAAATAAATAATTTATAATTCAAATTTTGGTATCAAAATTAATACAGATAATTTCATTTAGGCTGTTAAGTTTTTACCATGCCTCTGTTGAACAGATGTCATAAATTCTTTTGAAATAGTGTATATGCAGTTGTGAATAGTTTCTCTGAATTTTCTCCTTACCATATGCACCTTCCTGCCAAAGATAAATATTCATATGGGGAGGGGAAGGTTATGGAGAAATTCATTTGGTTGTAATTATATTATGAATTCACCCAATTTGTACTTCCTGAATTAATATGTAAACCAGAATGCAATTAACCTTTTAGTTTTCTCATTTCTTTGAATCTGCAAAGTGATCATTTGATTTTTAAAAACGGTTAAATATATAGGGGGAAATTCTGTATCAAAATGTGTAAAGAAAGGGAAATTAGGAACAAAAATGTATATGTTAGGGGAAGCTGTTTAAATAAAAATGCATACATCAGGGGAAACTGCTTGCAAAAGGACCAATATATTAATTAAAATTACAAATAACATTTTGAACTAATATTTTAAACAAATGTTTGCAAGGTAATACAGATAAAGGATGAAATAATTTTATACTTCAAAAGAAAGTTGTAGAAAGTGAAATGAGCAGATTTAGCCATCCTTTCCCATGAATTTAAGTGGGGGAGTTAAACTTGTGCTTAGCATTCTCCACTGAAACTATCACCCTTTAAAAGTGCTTCATATTGACTGGAAGCTATGCATTGGGCATGCAAGAAAGTTTGAGGATTTTTAAAGGTAAAATAATCTTACTGTCGTAGGGTTGTATGTTGTTCTGAACTATCATTCTAACATATTTGCACCAAGTAAGGGAAGCCAGATTTAAAACACTGTTTTGACTGTAATTCATTGTTACTGCTGACCTTTTGATCGTAATATATACAGTATTTATTCCTAGCTCTTAAATGTTAAAGCTTTTAAAATCTTTCTGAATGCTCTGTTACATTTTGCCAGTTCGTTTTTAATCATATAATATTATTGTTTTGATAGTCTAATTACATCAAATGTCCTTTAACCAATTGTCTTGAAGGGCAGTATTTATATATTTAATGGTGCGATTCTGTGCATGTTTAGACAGAAAAAAAGCCCTACAGTTTCCAGCTGGCTGGGGAATACTGGGAGTTCTAGGACTTTTTTCTGTCTACATGTATATAGGATTATGCCATAAATAAATTAGTTAGAAAATGCAGTATACTGCCACTATTAAAAAATAAGATAATGTAAAGGAAAAACTTTAATGAAATTCAACCTCCTTTCAGAACTTCTTCACAGCTGGTAATTTGTGCATTGTTCTTCCAGACAGAATAGAAACATGCAAGCAGGCAGGTGGCAATTTAGTCCTACAGATGTCAGACGCTTGTCTAAATGGGTTTCTAAGAATAAGCTATTCCTGTGTCCAAGTCTTGTATTCACAGAGGTAGTGTTGTAAAACACTTTTATCTCCCAAATGTATATTTTCTTTAAAGAAATTTCTAAACCCAAAGAGAAAGCAAAACAAATTTTAACTTTTTGTTTCCATGTAAAACATTTATTGGGCCATATATCTTTCCAAGCCTCTTTACTAGTGTTTCATATACATGCTTCTCTGGGAATAACTCCCATTGAACTCATGGGTCTTAATTCTCATGAGTCACTTATACAATTGCATTATTGTTGCTGAAAAAAGTTTCTTGTGAAAATCGTTGCTTGGTCACCTGTAGGATTATTGTATATGTAGAATCTCAGTAAATATATTCTGAGTATTTAAGAATGCTTACATGGATTTCTGGGAAAGGCCATTAGTCAGTGGTGGAGCACATGCTCTTCTTGCAGATTCTTTCCAAATTCTCTTCCTTGCATTGGGCAGGGAAAGATTCCTGCCTGAAACCTGGGCCACCATTCTCTGCTAATCAATAGTAACTGCTGAACACCAATGATGGACTAGCATTGTGACTCAGTAGAAAGCAGCTTCTTATATTCATACAGGATGATATTTTTGCAACTGTTCCATGTCACTGAAAATTGACCTCAAAGTAGCTGCAGTTTATGGCCACACTTATATGAAGGTATGCTGGTTGCCATAAATATTTTTAAAATGTGTATTGTTCTAATCATCTGGCCATCTGGAACAAGAGCAGCCTATCGCTCTCTTATTCCCCACATCATTCCCAGCAAACTCTAGCAAATACACAGTGTGTTTTAACTTTAGTCCTAATTTTAGCCAACTTGTATCTTAAGCAGTTATTATTTTGACACTCCAAAGCCATTATGAACAAGTCTGTGACATGAAGATTCAAGGACTTCCTCCTCTTCCTCCTCCTCCTCCTCCCACACACATTTACTTGGTACATGAAGTGTATAAAATAAGTTATTTTTTTCTATAGACAGCATGAAGTGGGAGATGGTGAGCTTCAGTCTGCAACTGATGAAGCTGCCTTGGCCTTTTGTAGTACATTTTCGATTGAGCTGCTGCTCTTTGCCAGGAGTTAAAGATCTCAGCGGGAAGGTGGAAGGAAGTTTAGTTGCCTTTTAAATTTGAGACAGAGAATAAAACATTGGTTCTTGCTCCTGAGTGTTGACAGGCACGTAAAAGCTGATAATGTAAGTCCAGGGGTTTAAGAGGCTTAACAGTTTTGCCTTTTTTTTTGTACTACTGTATTTTAATGCCTCATTAAAGAGGCAGAGTTCTTTGATACCCTTTATTAGATGGTTTAATAAAGAAAAGTTTAGATGCTTGGGTCTAAATGTCAACATTTAAAAAATTAACAGTCCTTTTAATAACCTTTATCTTTAATTCTGTATGTGGGGGAGCAAAGCAAATTTAACAACTTTTGGCTTTGTGTACATCAGAAGTAACTGCTTAGAATATGTAGTGTCTCTTTGTGGGTAATGTACTGCTGGTGCAAGGCAGACGAAGTCCTCACTTTACAAATGGAATAAGTCCAAGCCTGAGGGGTGTGGGGGGGGCACCTTAAGTTTTAAAGCTAACTATGTTACAGCAACTTTCCCTGACCAGGGGCTCTTTAAATGTGTTGAACTACAGCTGCCAGAATACCCAAGCCAGCTATATTATAGGATGTCAGGTGAGCTTTAGAATCATACAACAGTAGAGTTGGAAGGCGCCAAGAAGGCCATCCGGCCCTACCTTCTGCTAATGCAGGATACCAGGTTACATCATCCCACTCATATATCTGTCCTGATTCATCCCTTGTTGGCATATTTGGATTTTTGGTGATGTTGGCCAAGACTGCTGGAAACCGAAATGGGCCTGCTGGAAATGTCTGCAAAAGAAAAATGCACTTAAATAAGGAATAGTATTGAATTTGCCATTCTCCTTACTGGAAGATGAGAGCTGTGTTACATATGATGAAATTTCCTAAATGGAGGCTATAACTTGTATAAAATACACTGAGTTCTGCTGGTAGTTCATCTCACATGACCATACATGATTTTTCACCATGAGTAGTGTACATGCAGAAGCTTTGTGTGTGTGTTTACACTTTGTAAACTGTTATTATATTTTAAGAAGTATAAAAATATTTTTAAATTTAAAAATATTTCCTTTCCTCACTCTACAGAGAGAGGGAGCAGATGAAGAGTACATAATACTGGGCCAATTGCCTCCACAGAATGATGTTGCACTAATCGCTTTGTTTTTGCATAGTTTATGGCAAACTCATTTGATTGAAATTTTTTTGGAACAAACCATAAATTTTGTTTAAGAGAGGGAATTAAAATTGTCTGAGGCTATGCAACAGAAAATGCATTTCCTATTTCCTATGCATCTGGTTACCGCAGAATGCACCTCTTTTTCCCAAGTTTAAGACTTGAAGAACAAGGAGGAGCTGCAACAGCAGTCTGAGATCTGTACAATGTTCTTATGTCCTGAGGTGTAGGTGATACTTTGAATGTCTCTTGATTGCTACTATACTTTGTACAGGCCCAATTAGAAAATACAAGCACAGGCTACTCTGAAATGTTCAAAGGGTTCATATTCCCCAGGTCAATATTCTGCGCTTCCTTAGGCTGACCTTTCCTAATAATAGTAACTGGTCTTAGCGCATTAGGTATTTGATTTTCTGTACAGTATTTGGTTTTCCTCTATAACTTTGTTACAACATTCAGAATCTTGAAGGTGCAAGCTATCTGAAGTAGATTTACTACTTGTGAGCATTGAGAGTTTAACAACAGAATACAAATTCACACCAGCAAGAAATTGTCTTCTCTGTTGTGGGCTATCTTGTCAAAGATCAGGAGAACAGTGCAGAAGCTCTTCCAGTTCAATGGGTCAAAAATCTGCTCTTTATGAAAGGCTAAATGTGGATTTACACGAATGACTATAATGGCTCCAATTTTGAAAGATAGAGGTAACAGAGAGCACTTCCAGTTAGCGGGCTGATTTCAGAATGCAGCTTGTTCAAATGGCTAAAATATTGTGTTTTCTTCTTTTTCTCGTGCTTCTTAAAAAGAGGGAGAGAGACTAGGAAAAAATAGGTATGAAAAAGGTGGGATAGAGCCAATTTGAGAGTAAATTCAAACTGTATAAGGTCACTGTCTGGTTAACTGAGAGCAGAAATATAACTATCCTTCATAAGACGACAGTATAGAAGAAAAGGCCCATTTACTAAGCTGCAATTTTGAAAGGAATTCGACCTGCCTCTACTGGGGTGGGGGGGGGGGGAACCACATCACTGCTTTGGTAGCAACTTCATTGAAGTCTTT